ATGCTCCAGTAGGGAACAGAGTGGAGAGTACAGATTAAAAAAAGACTGGCCAACATTTAATAATTGTTGAAGCTAGGTGATGGGTACATGGGGGTTCATTATACTATTCTATTTTTAAATATATTTGAAGTCTTTCAAAATAAAAAATTAAAATTAAAGACTTCAAAAAGAAGCAACCAGGGCTTCCCTGGTGGCGCAGTGATTGAAAGTCCGCCTGCCGATGCAGGGGACATGGGTTCGTGCCTTGGTCTGGGAAGATCCCACATGCCGCGGAGCGGCTGGGCCCATGAGCCATGGCCGCTGAACTTGCGCGTCCGGAGCCTGTGCTCCACAATGGGAGAGGCCACAACAGTGAGAGAGGCCCGCGTACCGCAAAAAAAAAAGAAAAAAAAAAAAAAAGAAGCAACCAAAAGGAAAAACGTTCTGCATATAAAGCTCTCCATTTATGTAGTATAATCAAAACATCAGGGTAGAATGGGTATTGTGATCACGCTAATGAAAAAAACAATACTCTGGACCTATAAAAGATAAAATAAAGATATTCTAAAGAGATAAAAATACTCTAATAAATAAAAGATAAAATAAAATAAATCTGCTTCTAGATTGAAAGGGTGGGAAAGGGAAACTGAGGGAAAGGGTAAATACAGGAAGTTATGTTAAAGCTAAAGATCTTGTGTTTTTAGAAATGCATCTCATCTAACTATGAGATGAAAGTAGCAGGGGTTCAGAAATACTGTGGCTTTGGATGAGACTGAACTAGTACATTTAGCTCTGCTGTCTTTCAAATCTCTACTCTTCACTAAAAATCACACTAAAGAATGAAAAACAAAACAATACAGAAACTCAAGGACAAAGAGAACAGAAAAGAAGACAGCAACTACATTTTTAAGATTAGAGGGACTTCCCTGGTGGCGTAGTGGTTAAGAATCCACCTGCCAATGCAGGGGACATGGGTTCGAGCCCTGGTCTGGAAGATCCCACATGCCGCAGAGCAACTAAGCCCGTGCGCCACAACTACTGAGCCTGCGCTCTAGAGCCCACAAGCCACAGCTACTGGGCCCGTGTGCCACAAATACTGAAGCCCGCACACCTAGAGCCCATGCTCTGCAACAAGAGAAGCCGCCGCAAGAAGCCAACACACCACAACGAAGAGTAGCCCCTGCTCACCACAAGTAGAGAAAGCCCAAGCGCAGCAATAAAGACCCAAATCGCCCATAAATAAATAAATTTACAAAAAAAAGATTAGAGGGCAAAAGAGCAAATGACAACTGGCTTAGCAGGCCCAAGAAAACCAGAAGTGAGGAAAGCAAAAAAGCAATCCAATGTACATGACAGAATTTGCCAAAGACTTGTGAATTGGCTATACTAGTACCCCCAAAAGTAATGGTGAAGGTGGAGCTGAGAACAGGAGGCTTAGACGGAAGCCTGTTTATACAGTAATTAGTTACCTGCTATACTCCACCACAGCCAGGCCACTAGCCCTTTCCCAACCCTGGAAGACAACTAGGTGAGTCTAACAGAGGATCTCTGGACTAAGGGAGACCAGGCACAGATGAAAACAGGTAATTAAATGAAAGTCCATCTCCATACTGAATGTTGCAGACCTCTAACCCTTTTGTCTTACTCAGCAACCAGAATATCAAAAGCCAGATCTAGGGCTTCTCTGGTGGCACAGTGGTTGAGAGTCCACCTGCCGATGCAGGGGACACGGGTTCGTGCCCCGGTCCGGGAAGATCCCACATGCCGCGGAGCGGCTGGGCCCGTGAGCCATAGCCGCTGAGCTTGCGCGTCCGGAGCCTGTGCTCCGCGACGGGAGAGACCACAACAGTGAGAGGCCCGCGTACCGCAAAAAAAAAAAAAAAAAAAAAAGCCAGATCTAATACTCCAGATGCGTGGCTAAATCATTATTCTGATTCCCCAATCCAAAGTAAAAGACCTGAACATACAGGCATTAGAGAGTCCCCGGAAAAAGAGCCCAGCCAGAGAACTTTACAGTAAGGTCCAGTTAATAAATCCTGCCATGAACCCAAAGCTCCCAATAAGCCTCAATCTTAATTTTAATATGAGCAGAGGACCAAGAACCATCAGACATAGGAGAAGAGCTACTAACATGAAAAAGAGAGACCCAAACAAAGAGAAGGAAAGTAACTTGACAGAAACAGACACTTTGCAGGGAGAAGAAAATTTTTTTTTAAAATTTTTAAAAATTTTTAAAAAAAACAAAAACAAAAAACCCTGCCTCTAATATGTTTGGAGAAGTGAGAGAAAATACTACATCCATAAAAGAAGAACAGTATGCTATTTTTAAAAGAAATATTTAGAAAATCAAAAAGAACTCTTGAAAATTAGAGATACAACAAAAGAAACAATAGAAGGTTCAGAAGGAAAACAGGAGAGAAAAGAAAACTAAAGGATCATACATTTATTATATTTACTAGTTCTAGACAGGAAAAAAAAATAGAAGAAAAGTAGAAAGAATATTTTCAAGAATTGAAGTACATAAGCTTTCAAATTAAAAGAGCCCCTGAATGCTCAGCACAATGAATAAAAATAAACTCACATCAAGGAATATCATCATGAAATTTCAAAATGCTGAAAAGAAAAAAATCTTAAAACCCTCCAGAATGGGGAAAAAAAAAAGTTTCAAAACAGAATAAAGATTAGAATGGTATTGGACTGCTCAGTGGCAACACTGGAAGCTAGAAAACAAGAGATAATATTTTCAAATTAGGAGGAAAATAAATTACTAAAATTCTATACCCAGCCAAACTAAAGGTAATGATAGAGCAGAGGCTTTCATATATCAAGTCTCACAAAAAAATTATTTTACTTTCCTTAGGAAGCCCCTGAATTAAGTATTCTACCAAAAAGAGGGAGCAGGGACTTCCCTCGTGGTCCAGTGGCAAAGAATCCGCCTTCCAATGCAGGTGATGTGGGTTCAATCCCTGGTCGGGGAACTAAGATCCCATATGCCACGGGGCAACTAAGCCCGCACAACGCGACTACTGAGCATGTGCGCCTCAGCCAGAGAGCCCGTGTGCCACAGACTACAGAGCCCATGCACTCTGGACCCCGCGCACCACAACTAGAGCAAGAAAACCCACATTCCACAACTAAAGAGAAGCCTGCACACCACAACGAGTGCTGCAATGAAAAATCCCACGTGCCGCAATGAAGACCCGACACAGCCAAATAAATAAATAGATCAAATAAATATTTTTTAAAAAAAGAGGAAGCAAACCATAATAAAGGAAGAGATGAAATCCAGTAAATGGGAGGTTCAACATAACAGAAAAGCAGATGGAGTCCCCAGGATGAAGGTGAAGGGAGATCACAAGCTGACAGCTATGTAGTAAGTACAAAGTCCAGTATCAGACAGTTCCAGGAAAATGGTGTAGGGGCTGTGGAAAACAGTCTGGCAGTTCCTCAAAAAGTTAAAAAGTTATGACCCAGTAATCTCACACCTTAGGGATATACTCAAAAGATTTGAGGGCTTCCCTGGTGGTGCAGTGGTTGAGAGTCCACCTGCCAATGCAGGGGACACGGGTTCGTGCCCCGGTCCGGGAAGATCCCACATGCCGCGGAGCGGCTGGGCCCGTGGGCCGTGGCCGCTGAGCCTGCGCGTCCAGAGCCTGTGCTCCGCAGCGGGAGAGGCCACAACAGTGAGAGGCCCGCGTACCAAAAAAAAAAAAAAAAAAGATTTGAAAACAGGTATTCAAAAGCATACATGTATACCAATGTTCATAGCAGCACTATTCATAACAGCCAAAAGGCAAGAACAACCCAAGTGTCCATCAACTAATGAACGGACAGACAAAATATGATATATCCATACAATGGAATATTATTCAGCCATAAAAAGGAATGAAGGACTAATATATGCTACACACAGATAATCCTTGAAAACACTATGCTAAGAAAAAGCCAGACACAAAAATTCATATTGTATAATTCCTCTGATATGAAATATCCAGAATAGGTAAATCCATAGACAGAAAGTAAACTGGAGCTAAGGAAAGGCAAGAATGGGGTGTTAGGGCTTCCCTGGTGGCACAGTGGTTGAGCGTCTGCCTGCCGATGCAGGGGACGTGGGTTTGTGCCCCGGTCCAGGAAGATCCCACATGCCGCGGAGCGGCTGGGCCCGTGAGCCATGTCCGCTGAGCCTGCGCGTCCGGAGCCTGTGCTCCGTGGAGACCACAACAGGGAGAGGCCCACGTACAGCAAAAAAAAAAAAAAAAAAAAGAATGGGGTGTGACTGTTTAACTGGTACAGGGTTTTCGTCTGGGGTAATGAAAAGGTTTCAGAATTAGAGCTGGTGGTTGCACAACACTGTGAATGTACTAAATTGTGCATTTTCACATGGTTAATTTTATGTTAATTGAACTTTACCTCAAATTTTTTTAAAAAGAAAGCAAGCTCCTGGATTGCTCCAAGAGGATGAAATTGACCAAACACCTACTCTGTTTTAAACATATTAAAATGAGATTTTAGTAACTGAGGCCAAGTCTGAGAATGAATTGGCATTAATATACAGAAAATGAAATAATAAAAATTAGAATCGCTAAGAAAATCATTTTAGTCATGCACAGTGTTTACAAAGTTGTGGTGATTCAAATATGATTACCGATCTAAGCAGAATCATGACATAATTATATGGAGGGAGGGGACAGAAAATGTCCAAGTCTGTGATAGAGAGGGAAAGGTGAAAAAGCTAGCTCCTAATCTTCCATAGTTCAAATTAAATAAAAAATACCTAAAAGTGAAAAATTAAAAAGTACAAGTGCCAGCACATGTTTATTATTTAAAGCTATGAAAGTAAACACCGAAAGAAACAATTACGAGAATTTAAATAAGTTGCCTCTGGGAGTGAGAAATGAAAAATGGGGGTGAAATGCCACAGAGGATTGCTATTTTTTGTAATAAACCTAATAAAGCTAAAAGGGAAGGAGATGGAGGAGGAATGGTATATATTTACGCTGGTTATGAAAAACTAAGCTCACCTGAAGAAATTGTGTGAATTCTGTGTAGTTAAGATGCTTCTTCCGATTATGCCCAAAATGCAGCCGGATAAATTCACAGTCCCAGTTAAAAGGGATATGGTGATGAATAGTAGTCTGCCCAAAAATTTCTTTGACATTTTCTTGAAAGGGAAAACAAAAATAAATAAATTATATCTGGAATAAGTAGTTTAGTCCACTGCAATGTTCCTACAGAAAGAAATTAAGAGAAATTTTAAAAGTCAATATTATCTGTTTCTACTAACATTAGCTGCAAAATTTTTTGTGCTCAGAAACCCATGCACAGGAGCACAATTGATACAAAATATAATTTTACAGTTAAGATTGTGTACCATTACATATAAGGCCATGAGATTCTTAATTTCTCTTGATTTAATTTTAATTAGAAAGTGATTTATATCTTGCATTATAAATGGCTGCTACTTTGCATTCCAGTATAAAATCAATAGTGTTTTCCCGGTTCCTCAAGGAGTCGAATTAAGCCCTTTATCAGAAGCATGAATACCTAAATTACAGTATAATGCAATATTTGTCATACTAAGTATGGCTTGATTGAGGCTTGATTATTACATTCACACTAGCCTGAATATGTCTATTGAAGATAGGTATAAGAAATACTATCAAAAGCATATCATTAGCTCAGCAGCAAGCACCTTATTAAAAGCTTCTGATATTGTCAAAAATATGGTCTTGACACAAAGCTACAAGATCCCCATAAAAACCATGATTATTAGTCTCAGCTATTAAAATATTTTAAGATAAGTGAAATTAGTGATTCACTTTTAAGTAAAGAAGGACTAAACACAGTATACTAACTTTTAGATAGGAACCAGTCACACTGTGTAATATACAACCAAAACCCTCTGACAGCTTGTCTTCATGCACTAACAAAGTCATTCACTTTCTTACACCGTTCTACACTTACTATGAAAGTCAATTCACAAATGACTGGTACTTTAACAAGCATAGACTGGATAGACTAATTTAGAAGCTCATGCCAAAAAAAAAAAATCGTTAACAAAGTTAAGAAAGCAGGAAGCCCGTTTTACTGATGTCTTAACAAAATTATTTTCAAATTTAAGCCAATTATATTAGTGAAAGGATTTTACTATCTATAGCTATCAATTATACTAAAAAATTAGTAAATACAAGCTTAATGTTTTATAATCTCCAACTATGCTATTTTATCTAATTTCTGCAAATTCTTTGAGTAAGATATAAATCTCATATTGTAAATGGTTTAATGGATTCCCTTTAGTTTTAATATACTTTTTTTTTTTTTTTTTTGATAAAAGCATTGCTATGCTGGGGGAGCAGTAGGGAGTGTAAGAATCCTGAACTGGAAATCCTACCAGTCTGGACTCAACATGACAGCTCTGAATAGGGCACAGTGATTAGTCAGTTGGAAGGCGGCATTGGATGTCACTGGGGAGATGGGATTCTCATCTTTTCTTTCAAATGGAATGTAGCATTTATTTCTGGCCTAAATAGCAACAGTATTTCAGAGTTTTCAAATCATGTCAATTATTTTCATCTTCCATAAACACAAATTAAATATATGAGTTTTTGTTTCTGAAAGCAAAGAATTAATGCAATACAGCAAGTCATGGGATCCTAACCAACACAAAGGATTACCCTTGAATCTATATGAAACTTCAACAAGTTGTAAGATATGTTAAAGTTTACAAAATAATTAAAATAATAAGGATGGCAAAAAACTATTTAGAGTTAAAAGTATTATGGCCGTTTAGCAAAGATTTTTTTAGGATCCTAATTCAATTAATTAGTTGCTTCTCTTTCCAAATTAATTAATTTGATTTCTTATTTTAAGTGTTAAACTAAGGGAATATGAAGAAATTAATGGAAAGCATATTAGGATAACTTAAATTACTACATATATTTAAGTAACATTAAGATAAATTATTAAAGGGAATGAGTTATTTTATAACCTTTATTTTAAAGGTCACAACTCCCAAAACTCAACTATTTAATAGGAAATATACGTATTGCTACCTAAATAAGTTTTATATAACAGTGGAATAAAACTGAATTCCCTTTGTATGACTGGAAAATATCAGAATCTCAAGTGCGAAACTATATCAAATAAAGCCAAAGATTCAAAAGCTTTCAAACTTATGAAAATTTAATGAACCATGAAAATTGTCTTCTATTATCACAAAAAGGATATTTATAAACCAAAATTACAATGTATAATTTACATTCAGAAAAATAGCTCTAAAATAAAAACTTTTAACTAAAATCCTATTTTGTAAACTACTTAGCAACCTTTAAATAAAATCTTACAATACCTTTGAAACAATTAAAATGATGGCTTAAATTACTCATAATAATTTCCCCAAATATAGAAGTGTCATTTTCCATGAATATTTGTTTAAACATTTCTCCCTTCACCCAAAGTGGTCAGTTGACAGCTTTGTATATGGTTTTATTATGACCATTATTATCTGCTGTTGTTTATTAACTACCCCCAGACACTTTTAATTATTTTAGCCATGTCACAGGCTACAAAATTTCAAACCTACTTTGGCACCTCTTGATATTCCACTTCCCTTCTGTTATTATTTCCACTACCAACTGCCTAAGGCTAAATCAGGAAGCTTACAGAAATAATTAGTACAACTATTGTTTTGAAGTCAAATTCATAATTACCGCTTTACTTTTACCAGGATATGCTTATTTAAAAAAAAAAAAGTTATACAAAAGCTCCAGAACTGGAGAGCTTATACTTGTGTGAGGCAATAGCCCAAAGAGCTGATGATCTTCTTATCTTACCCAGTTTTATCAGCTTCTGTACGACATGAAAGGGAGCACCAATAATCTCAAATATACCCAATATATCTAACTGAAACTACATAGCAAGTTTCCCCCCAGAGAGAATCCCGTCTTTCCAGTGGCAAACAAGGGTCTTTAGCTCTCCAAGGAGTACTATTTCAGTGGCCACAGTTCTGGCTTGGATGAAAGGGATATGATAGTCACATCTTATTGGCAACAAGATCATGATCGAGTGTTTTATACTAGGTTGGCACTGCTAAGGGGAAATAGGAATCCATTTGTTTTCTGACATATAGAAAACAAAAGACCACTTTTTCACTTCCTGCAGAGCATGGGCTCATGAAAGAGATGGTTTATAATTCCTCTGAAAAGGGAAATGGGGCCAGATACAAAAGTAGCCTGTCATTATGTTCTCTTTGCTTAAAGGAGAGGAGCACAATGAGTTGTCAGGAGGGCAGGTAATGGTGACAACTGTGATTAAGTAAAAATGTTCACAGACATATAACATTAGTCAGTTTAGCTGTATCAGTCACTTATGATGATTGCACTAGATGAAATACATCGAAGCATATATATTATGTAAATATGTCTTAACAGAGGTTTTAATTTTCCCAGCAGCCCACACTGTGTCTCCCCATCTCATCCACCCTCATCCCTCCCCTGGTCCTTATGGGAGCTTCCTACTGGTCTTGTTCACCTTTCTGCAGTACAAAATTACCTCTGACCGGGGCTGGCACTCTTCTCCAAGACTGCCGCCATGCCTGTTCCATGAATGAGCCTGGAAGGAGCTGCTGTACCAACGGTGTGGCCAGAGAACTCCTCCTGTAGGTATACAAGCCATCAGCCCTGTGACACAGCCCACCTACCATCAGCCCAACGACATACTGATTCCAAGGATTCCAGCCCAGCAGGAGCCACTCCTTCCAACTTATAGGCTTGAGATCAAACATTTTTATTGTCAGGGGAAAAAAAATTCCTTAATAGCTGAGTTTCACCTGCACAGTTCTTAAAGTGAAGTCAGAGAGGCTTTTAGAAGGACTCCCGCCAGGAACAATGAATATCCTTGTGTATAACTGAACAAAAACAATGGCAAGACTTGCAGAAGTAAAGAGTTTCTCAGTGAGGGAAAACTTGGGGGGAAAGAAGAGGAACGACTAAGAAACTAAAAAAGAAAAAAAAGGAAAACAAACAACAACAAAAAGATCAACAACAGGAGCTTGTAGAAGTCCCAGCCAACCCAGCATGTCAGGCCAGACTTCTAGGTTCTATTTCCAGGTGGCTCATTAGTTTCCGGGGTGACCTCCTCTGTTTTACTGAGGGAAAAGTATTTCTATTAACCCTTTACCTACCTCCAAAAGGGATTACTGTACAATCAGTCAACAGAGTAGTCCTGCTGCCAAATATATGTAAAGGTCCACTTCTCAGGAAAAATGAGTTTACATTTAAAGAGCATCTATTACTACAGAAGTTAGATGCTTCAACAATCTATCACCAAATGGCATAAAAACAAGTAAAACCATGTTCTCTTTTTACCTCAAATTCTAACCTACTCTATAGCCTTGAATATTAATGTGACCTTCTCTGCGATACCTGAAAGGAGTCTCAAAAAGTCTTCCTGATTTAATTTGAACACCCAAGTGAAGCTCTCATTCTTACCAAGTTAAACTAGGCATTTATTACCATTAGAATTTCATATTATACCATGTCTATAGCTTTGCTTCCACTGAGAGAGGATATGACATTTTTCATATCTAGACTTCCATCTCCTAACTCTTTTTAACAATAGCAGTGGTCATGCCTAAAACAGCCCAATCAGATTATTCCCTCCTTTAGAGAAAAAGAGTCTGTTTTAGAGGCACAAATGGAACACATTTTTATTTGTTATACATAATGATGGTCAAACAGGGTACAAAATCGAAAGGAATTCCTACTTTTTGAGGGTTCTACAGTCGGGGTAAAGATGTGCCCCTGGAAAAGTTTTCTTCAGAGAGCTCCCATTCCCAGGCAAACACTTTGGAACACAATGTTGATGAGATTTTTAATAGAAAATTTAGAATATATAACATTTATTAGTTAATAGGTAAGAGTGTTGTTGGGGTTTTTTTTTAGAATGATTACATCCTTGTTAAAGCAATAGGGTTTTTGTTTTTTTTTTAACTTGGGACAAATGCATGGCAACTATTGACAACACAATGTAGAATAGCTGGTTATCTAGGGTACGTCAATCTAATTCTATTGAGCAGAATATCCAGTACACTAGTGGACAACAGTGAGACCAAGGCAAGTTTACACAATATCTAGCACACACCGGTCATGCAATGGCCCCTATAAGGCTCATGCCACCAGGCAGAAACAGATATACAAGCCATTAAGTAATCATCCACAGCATGCATTAGAAGTTTTACTAAAAGAACACCAAAGAAGAAACAACTGATGATTTTATTCACTCTTTTAAAAACTCCAAAACCCTCTCTTGAGCTTGTACATTCTAAAATGGATGACCAAGGTCTCAATGTAAGTCCTCTCGCCCAGAGCAGAGGTATCTCTAATTAAAAAAAAAAAAACTTGTCCAGCATTCAAGTAAATGTTGTTCAATACTGATATATATAAATATTTGCAAAGATACACACAATTTAAGTACACAATTTGATGTGTATAAAAAGCATATCTAAAAAAAAAGCATAGATGAGAATATACACAAGTACACAGATAACATCATCGTCATAGTCCATGAGATATACTGACGGCGTAATAGTCTTTCCCCACTCCATTACACCTTGCATCCAATATTCTCTCCCGCCTTTCTCTCCTGACGTGCACAAGAAAAATCTATACTTTAAATACGCTCCAAACTAGAAAACATAAGGCCATCTGATGAAAAGGATTTAGAGTTAGAATGGATCTAAATTTTCCTTTTACCTAAACATACGTCTATAAATACATAAGCACAATTCATTTTATTAAGTGAGTACAAACATGAAAACTGACCTTTATCATAGATCCAAAATCCTATTAAAACAAACTCCAAGTTAATTATTTCCTTATGTTGAAATTCTGTAGTCTCGAATACAGCCTGAAATGAGTGGGCCTTAGAAATTTTGTTAAATGGCATCTGTAACAGTTTCAATGCTTTTCTTCTTTTCTTAAGAATATAAAATTAAAATTTCTCTCCTTCATTATGATTTTTTTCATTTTAGTTAAGAAAGTTTGTCTAAAAATGAATCCTCAGAATTTGGGATGTAGGGCAGGGAGGGGAAATGGTCAAGGTCCCCAGCAAATAGGTGAGCACCCTCAAGAGAACCATCCAGTTAGCCAGGGACCACAGGAACAACGTCGAAAGGGAGCTCAATTTTTTCTCATTCCATAAGAATCTTCCTAACTCTAGATTATGGAGCAGCAGAATGAAGGATTCTGGAGGGTTTATATGCTCTTCAGTTCAGAACAGGTGCTATAAAAACTAAAACTGATTTGTTCTGCTTTTAATCCTAATTATATTTTCTTGAAATTTTAACTCATAAATCGTAGTCTGAGGGAAAAACAAAAGATCTATAAAACGCTAAAGTTGGAGTCTAATAACTACAAGCTTTCATCTGCATGAAATAATGTGTGTATAAACCATTCAGCTACTTCCTACACATTTTAATCTGCTAATCAACAATGGCATGAGTCTCTATTGTTAGTCTGTTGAATAAACTGACTTGAGTGACTTATTTTTAAAATAGAAATTGGAAAAAGCAATCAAATGGAGGAGGCCCAAAGAATCATGATACCAAGGTAAAGGGGACCAAAAAAAAATAGAATTTGGTTTTGGGAAATCTAATTCTTAAGAAATGGACACATGACAGAAGCACGGGTATACTGTCACTAAGGCAGATATTTATATCAAGTTATTTCCCAAGCATCTGTGCATCACATTTGGAAATAAGGTATATGAGCATGTGTGATACTTACTGAAAATAGAAAATGCAGCATTATCAGCAGTACAGGGTTAATGCTGAATGATGAGATGATAAAGGCTTTATGCTTTAAACTATAAAATCTGGGTGTTTCTGAGGAAAATCAACATTCTTTAGGAGGCAGAATGGCCAGAGCTTGCTCCAAAGCAGAGAGAATGCCAAGATAAACACAGACACCTGAAGAGCTCTGCATAGGTATTTATTTGGGAAAATCTTCTGATAACAGAAGACAACTGAGTCAGTGGGCAGAAAGAAGGAAACAATCAATGCCAAGCTAGAACATGTGCCCACTAAGATGACAGCAAAGGCGCACTGGTCCTTTCAAATACCTGTATTTTCTCACCATTCTCACCATAGCAGCGATACATCTTCCTCTGGGTTTAACTAGAGGATATTTGTTTTATAACCAACACTACAGTGAATAAATATTTAGCACTGTGGCTCAGGGGAAGCCTGATTTTCAAGAGTTTCCCTACCACATATTGATTCCCATTCACACCACTAACGGAGTTCAAGTTGAGGTTTACAAGATGAAAAAGTTCTGGAGATCTGTTTCATTACAGTGTGAATATACTTAACACTACTGAACTGTACGCTTACAAATGGTTAAGATGCTAAGGTTTATGTTAGGTGTTGTTTTACCACAATAAAAAAAATCCAAATATTTTTAAAAAAAGGGAGGAGTGCTCTAGGTCCTTGATAACACTACATTATTTTTATTGAAAAGCCTCTTGCAGGAAAAAATTAGCTGATACTCTTACTAAACACATACTAATTTCTGCAAGTAAGCCTCTTCAAAAAACTAATACATAGCTATAGATAGAAATCCTAGCTTGTATGCTTTGAGACATCCACAATGTGCTAGACTATGTGCCTACCAAAGGATTTAAATTGATTTCTACATCCAATTCAAATGGCAACTTTAATATTCTAGCCTTGTTGCCTAAAACCAAAAATCTAAAATGGGGGTTCAGAGAATGCTAACTATTCTTGCCTTAACTCCCTCCTTCCGTTCCATTCTTAGGTGTTAAAATGACATAGCAGCAATTTTCCAAAGATGCTCCAGAGAAGCTCTGAACTCTCTACCCAAAAATTCCTGAAGGTATGAGATGATTACTCCACGTTGTTCAGTCTGTTTCATAAAAAATGTTGCCCAGGCTGGCCCAGAACAAGATAAGTTTACACCACCTACTTTAGGAATGTAAAAGTGTCAGAGAGTCAATGAGTTGAGGTAACAACATTCCTAAATTCCTTAATTTTTTGCAATAGTCTAATGCTTAAAAGAAAATAAAGCCATTTTTATTTTATCTATGTAAATCCTTTTAGGAAATTAATACTTCATTTTTTGACTAGCTCTTAAAATAAGCAGCAATCTATATGCAGTTACTAAATTTAGCAATTAAAAACTGAACCAGCCTCACTAACTTCACTTAAACATATAATCTTTTTTTTTTCTTACCAAATGTCACCTCTCCATTTCCACTCTTGTCAAACAATTGGAAAGCCACTATGAACATGGAATCTGGAGCACATAAAACAGATTCAAATGCCAAAAACTCTTGATAGGAGATCAACCTGGAATAAAATATAAAATATTATTGGCTGGTAACCTGCCTTTACAGTATGAATTGTAGCTCAGGGTAACCAAATAACTGATGACGGGAAGTGTCTCTTTATAGTGGTATTCCAGAAAAGAAAGAAAGAAGGAATGATAGAATGTTACCGTTTTGTAAACCCTTAACTCATTAATGGACCTGGGCAATAATCAGTAGCCTCTAACATGGCAAGAAGAAAGAGACTAGACTGAAAATAATTGAACCTGAATCTGATCAAGTCTCTAGATCAGAGTTTCTAAAGCTTGGCCCTCAATCGTGCCATTTGAAGCTGGATAACTCTTTGCTGTGGGGGCCTCCTGTGCATTGTATCATGATTAGCAGCATCACTGGCCTCTGCCCACTAGATGCCAATAGCACCTGCCCCACCGAGAACCACTTTAGATGTAATCAACAATTTACAGAAAAATACAAAGGACAAAGGAACATCTCAAATTAAACATTACCACAGAAACACAATCAGCAAAAATGCAGACTGTGGGAAACTACAGAGTGAACATTCTGTATATGCAAAAAAAAAAAAAAAAGAACTTTTAAAGAAGATATGGAGGAGAACCTCATTAAAGACCTAAGAGATGTAGCAATTAATTACAAAGATACAGATCTTATTTGGATTCTGATTAAAGCAAAGTAAAAAAAATTTTTTTTAGTTTATAAAAAAATCAGGAAATGGAAATACTGTTACAACACAAATGCTTGATGATATTAAGACATCAATGCTTTTGAGGAGGTTTTGGTTGGTTTTTGGTAATTTTTCTTATCTTCTAGAAATACACACTGAGATATTTACAGATGAAATATGTCACCTGGAATTTGCTTCAAAATACTCCAGAGGATGGAGGAATGGATGGAGGTATAAGTGAAACAAATTTAATAATTATCTTAATAATTATTAAAAGTGGGTGTATTTACTTCATTAAAGTGAACCCTAAGATGAACTGGGGACCTTGGTGATTATGATGTGTCAGTGCAGTTTATCCTTGGTTAAAAAAAAAAAGTCTTAAAAAAGAATTAACACTCAGGGTAGACATTTTTGGCAAAACTTTTGTTACACTTTTATATATGTATACATATTATATATGTGTGTGTGTTTGTTGGACTGGGATGTAAAATGTACTTTTTAGATCAAAAAAGTTTGCAGGCCACTGTGGTTAAATTATACTGGCAAATAAAAGCACAAACTAACCTCAAAAAAAGTGGGCGATGAGTATATTGCATTTATTATACTACTCTTTGTTTTATATATGTTTGAAATGTCAATAATAAAATTTTTAAAGGAAAATTCAAAACCAAAAGGAAGAAAACTAACTTATTTCATCCTATAATACTCAAGGTTGTGAAATTAGCCAGTGGCCAAAACTACACTGAAATTGCCTTCAGTGATCTTATGGAGTAGGCATATGCTAGTTTAGAGTCATCTTCCACAACAAATCTTGCTGCAAATATTTCATACCATGTTGCTGCTACTGATAGTGACTAGTATCCAAGTGACAGTATATATCCAAGAAATACATATAACAGTATATATCCAAGTAATTATACACACACACACCAGTAGTGCCACATTTTACTCTCAAATGGGCTGATTCGGACAATACATTTACAGTCACCCTATCCAAAGGAACAGACCTAATTCTTAATGTAGCTTCTAGGCCCACAGGATCTGACTTCTCCATATCTCTTCCCTGCTCTCTGCACTCCAGGCCACTCATTTTAAGCTCCTAAAACAATCCATGCTCCTTCCACTCAGGTCCATCATTCAGCAATTCATTTTCCTTGGAATGATCCCACCATCTCCAAACTTCCGTCCATTAAATTTCCACCCAGTCTTTTTTTTTTTTTTAAATATTTATTTATTTATTTATTTTTGGCTGTGTTGGGCCTTCGTTTCTGTGCGACAGCTTTCTCTAGTTGCGGCAAGCGGGGGCCCCTCTTCATCGCGGTGCACGGGCCTCTCACCATCGCGGCCTCTCTTGTTGCGGAGCACAGGCTCCAGACGCGCAGGCTCAGTAGTTGTGGCTCACGGGCCCAGTTGCTCCGCAGCATGTGGGATCTTCCCAGACCAGGGCTCGAACCCGTGTCCCCTGCATTGGCAGGCAGATTCTCAACTACTGCGCCACCAGGGAAGCCCCGACCCCAGTCTTTATATAGCTCATCTCAAATATCATTTCCTCAAGAGAATCATCTTAAAGTCCCCAGATGACTTCACATCCCCTTCACACCTTACAGCAGTACTGTACTTTTTTAGCGCCCCTCACAGAATTCTTGTTAAAGTAATTATGTAACTCATTGTTTAAAGTCCAATTCTCCGTTAGAAAGTAGGCCTGTCAGAGCACAGGCTTGATTCAGGGTAGGAACTCATAAATCTTCTTGAATACACCCAATTTAGAATACATGACTTTTTAGAGATACCTGTTTTCCAGCACAGTATTAAGAAAGTGACTACATTTTACTTTTCATTTTATGCCCTCATTCATCTAAGACATATTTTACATTCAAAGTTATATTTTCTATTACTTAAAACACTTTGAAGTATGTTCAAATTACACAGATTACATTATATCCAAAGCAATGATGTACACTATGCCTTTACCCTTTTTTGAGGGAAAGAAAGGCTTTGTGGTGGTAGTATTCAGGGCACTGAAGACTATGCCCTCACTGTGCCCACGCTGAAGAATCCTTGGTGAAATTAGGAGCTTGAGTGCCTAATGAATCCTGGGAGGAACAATCGAAACTGTTTATCAGGCCACATGTCATAACACACCTTATGCATTACTAAAAAATATAGTAAAACTCAAAAGTATGATTATCAGTACACAAATTGTAGGGTAGTAAAAAACAAAGAAGTAACAATATATCAGGTATCATCATGACTATGCACACACTCCTAAAAAGCAATGAGCAATATGTGGTTTTAAGCTCTGAACAAAACTAAAGATCAATGAGAATGTATAACACAAATACAATAGTGATCTAGGAAATGAGTTAGAGTAGACTTTCACTTTCTACATTATGTAATTCAGAAACATTTGAAATTTTTATATTTATAATAAAGAATTAGCATTATTTCTTCTGCTCATAACATTAATTTTAAAAATAAAAATTAAAAGTAGCTAGGCTGATTATAGGAGGGAAGAACAATGCCCAGCATCTTGGTTTTTCTAAAACAAGTCTCAGGAATTAGACATCAGAAGTACCATTACCCTGAAATACAGAATATGTAGCTTTAAAGCATATTTCATGCTCAGTAGTAAAACTTTCTGTATTTATGAGAAGAGGTCAAAGACCTTTTCCTTAACTAGCAAAGGTCATAAGTGGTTGGCTGGCAGACTGAATTTGGCCCACACATATGTTTTCTTTAGCATGTAAAGCATTATGTTTTTAGTTAGGTTTGCTGCCAACATTAGGAAATCCTAAGATTTCACAAAAGTATCCAGTTTTCTGGTTTCTCTTGATAAATTGTGAACTTGGGCAACAGGTTTCTGGTTCCAAGTAGCACCAGCTTCCTGGAGCCTAGCAGAAGCTGCCTTCTTCAGAGAGACCAGGGCTTGCCAGTTATCTACACCTGCCCCTGCAGATTTGAGACTCTGGCAGCGTAGATTTCCAACTAAGTGCCATTTTGTTTAAAATATAAATTCTATGGACTTTATTAAATATCTACATTTTTATCTACCAGTATATTCAAAAAGGCAAATCATATATTCATGAAATTTAGAGTCAGAAGGACCCTTAGAAAATCTGAAGAAGTGATCTGTTCAAAGACATTCAGCAACCCAGTGGGCCACGTCGAAGACTCAACTCCTGTCTTCAATCCAGTGTTCACCATCCTGCCCCCCAATCCCAAATTTAAAGTTATAGTTGAAAAATAGAAAGGGTATCTGGTACCTACAGCAAGTAGAACATTATTATAATACTCAGCCAACCCTCAATACTCAGAGTTACCTTTGTTAATACAGTGATTTATTTAAAGAAAGAAAAGTCAATTAAGAAACACAAAAGCAACTTAAAAATAAGTCACTTCATATTATTCACCCTTAAAAAGGAATGAAATTCTGATACATCCTGCAACGTGAATGAATCTTTAAAACATTATGCTAAGTGAAATAAGCCAGATGAAAAAGAGCAAATATTGTATTGTCCCACTGATGTGAAGTACCTAGAACAAATTCATAGAGACAGAAAGTAGAATAGTGGTTACCAGGAACTGGGTGTTGGGGGAGAATGGGGACTTGTTTAATGGGTATGAAGTTTCAGTATGGATGATGAAAAAGCTCTGGAGATGAACAGCGGTGACGATAGCACAACAATGTGAATGTACTTAATGCCACTGCACTGTACACTTAAAAATGGCTAAAATGGTAAATTTTATGTTATATATATTTTAATACAATAAAAAATAATAAGTCACATGGGGTTTCCCAGGTGTGCATGTTTGCCAAAACTCAGGAAATGTACCTTTAATATTTATATTTTTCACTGTGTGTAAATGTTACATCTAAAGAAAAAAACCTCAAAACAAATATTAAATTCTAGTTAATAATATGCATGCTGAAATATTTAAGAAATGTATCAGTGTCTGCAATTTACTTGAAATGTGTAAAAAAAAATAAGACGGACTGATGTAAAGATAGATGATAGATACATGAAAAGAAGTAGAGAAAGATGCTAATGGTAGAATACATGTGGTGGGTATATAGGGTATTCAC